TGATATGTTATATTTCAAGTAATCATTTAGTTTAAAGGTTTCAACTGCTACAATTAAACGTAGTAGTGAATAATTATAACCTGAATAGGTTAAATGATGGTAAACACTTGAAAAAAAACTAAAATGAAACAAAGCTACTAGTCATCAATTTAAATGATAAAAAATATTGTTGTAATTCAAACAAACTAACGAAATAGTTTTTTTCCGCTTGGCTGATATAGTTTTCGCAAAGCACTATGTGTAAAAGGCTCGTTTTGATAGATTCTAATGTGTTTTTAATTATAGTGGTTTTTCAACCATGTGTTCATTGGGTTTCAAGTTAATCATTTTTAAATTATATACTTTGCTTGGTTTAGAGTGACTGAATTAAACACCCCAACTAATAAAAGTAATATATTACCAAAAGTATAAAAAATTTCATCCCCCAACAGTGGCTTTATTAAGAAGATAAACTCAGCACAACTGTATGATCAGTGCGAAGTTAATGCTGAATACGTAAGTTGGTTTATTGTTATTCAATTAGTACTGGTTTATAAACCAAGAAGAAATCGATTTCATAGGTAAATTTTATGTAAACTCTTATGTTTGTATTTTTATAACTTGATGTTCCTGGTTCTTTTGGAATATATATATATATATATATATATATATATATATATGTTTCCACCTGTTTATTTTTCTGATTTGCATCAAGTCGATTAAGGTGCAATTTTTAAAGAGTCCTATACAAGAGGGATACAAACAGTCTTTAATCTCTAAACTTTTATATTTGGTTAAAAAATTTTTCTGGTAAGCGTTTTTTTAGCGAGTTAGTTTTCTACGGGATGGGGACGCTAACCCCATGCCCAACCCTCCTCCTTTATCCGGGCTTGGGACCGGCAGTAACTCTGGAAGAGCTACAGGAGGGGTTGATTAAAATGGATTAAATAATTTTTATCCTATGATGAACTAGTCAAATAGTTTATATACTACGTGGCTATTTAAACGTAGTCCAAAACTCCAACTTAAAGATTGAAATTTATATGAATTATTCATTGATACGCCACCTCAATTTATTGCATAATTATATTACTTCAAACAACTCTAATTAGTTATTAATAAAAATGATGTTAATCAATGATTATGAGGCTAACTTTGTTTATTTCAAGTAACTGTTATGTATTTCAATTAATTCATAATGAGTTTTCACTATGAATCACTCGATAATAGGCGGCTTCTTCATATTCAAACAAAAAATGGAGAAAGAACAAGCATAAAATCGGCTTAAAACACAAATAGTCTAATCATGTTTTTTATATTTTAAATACAGTCAGTATCAAATAGCTTTTGATGATTTGTTAATGAAATCTATTTTCCTCTTAAAAAACAATTAATCTATAAATTGATTAAATTGTTTTGATATTTCTTTTTATTCTCATATAAATAATTTCTTTAAATGGACAACGTAATATTACTTACAATAAATAATAATTAATTATCATTTTTCATTGTTATTATCAGAATGTGTTTTGTGGAGATTTTTAGAAATTTTCACAGATTGAACTCATGAGTCAGTTGAAGCTAGACCACCATTGAAAACCTGGAAGCACTGGACGGCCGTTTCGTCCTAGTATGGGACTCCTCAGCAGTGCGCATCCACGACCCCGCACCACCCGGGGCTCGAACCCAGGACCTACTGGCTTCGCGCGCGAGCACTTAACCATTGGATGCCGGCTCAGTGGGCTAATGGTTAAGTGCTCGCGCGCGAAGCCAGTAGGTCCTGGGTTCGAGCCCCGGGTGGTGCGGGGTCGTGGATGCGCACTGCTGAGGAGTCCCATACTAGGACGAAACGGCCGTCCAGTGCTTCCAGGTTTTCAATGGTGGTCTAGCTTCAACTGACTCATGAGTTCAATCTGTGAAAATTTTTTATTGTGTTTTATTCTATAGAATTATAAGAACGAGTAATATTCACTTCTTTTTTTTAAAGTTAAAACATTTAATTTCAATTGTAATTATTGGTTTTACTAGTGAATAAAATTAATGATTGTTCTGGTTTTCAGAAGGAGCATCAGCCTTGTGACTTTCGAAGGAATTTGGCTTTCAACATGAGGCGTCATCACTCTTTTAAATGAAGACCTTCTAACTCCCAGGACAGATTTTAAGTGGTTTTGAATTATTTTTTCTGGTTAGCATCTTTTTTAGTGAGTTGGTCTTCTGTGGGATGGGGTCGCTAACCCTATACCCGATTCTCCTCCTTTATCCGGGCTTGGTAACAGTAATAGCCCCAGGGGGGCCCCAGGCAGAGTGTTCATTGGTCTTTCTCTTCCCCTTTGGCCTTGAGGATTTCATGTGGGGGCTGGCCTTGTGACGCACCGTTGGGATCTGTTAGAGAAAATAAATCAGATCCCAGTTGAGGAAGAAATCAGGAAGAAGTGCTGGAAGTAAATAGGACAAATTGAAGAAAGCACCCAACTGCGTCACAATGCAAGCCCTCGTATGAAATCCTCTAGGCAAAAAGGAAAGAAGAAGATCAAAGAACACATTACGCTGAGAAATGGAGACAGACATGAGAGGAATTAACAGCAATAGGATAGAACTGGAAAGGAAGGCCTGGGACAGAATGGGTTGGAGAATACTGTTCGGCGGTCTATGTTCCGTTAGCGGTAACAGGCGTAAATAAGTAATTGAGTGAATAAAACGAAAAATACACTTATCTAATTAACTGTTCATAGTTATGCCTACATTATATATATATATATATATATATATATATATAGTTAGTTAGTTACCTTTACTTGTGAGAATAGTACTTTGTTAAAGTTTCAAATTCAATCTTAATAATAACATTATTAGATTATTCTCTAATTGTATATCAATATAACTACCATTATCTAGATAGACAAAAAATAGAATATTGGGCTTTTACATAAACAACTGACAATCTGAAGTGGAATGCTTATAAGTCACTGAAATATGAAAATTAGTGAAAACCGAGAGATACTGAACTGATTGCTATAAATAAAAGAGGATAAAATAGGTCAAGGAATAATATGTGAATAATGTGACAAAAAAGGTTTGATTTGTTTAATCTGATTGGCGTTTTTTCAGCAAGATCTTTTCTATGGATGGGGTCGTCGACGTAATGCTCAACCTACCTTCTTTACCCGGGCTTGGAGCCGGCAGTATCTTTGAAAAAGAGCTACAGGCGGTGACTAAAAAGGGGTACTAGATATACACTAGTTGAAGTTAGACAGTACCATTGTTGGATTTCGGCTTAGTGGTATAGAGGTTAAACGTCCACATGCAAGACCGAAGGTATTGGGTTTGAATCTCATGTAAAGGATCGTGGATGCGCATTGTTGAGGAGTTTTATGATAAAACGAAGCAGCCATCCAGTGCTTCCAGTCTTTTCAACGGTGTCCTAACATTGATTAATTCATGATCTCAATCGGAATCCCATTTTGTAAATACGCATTTTACTAAAACGTCTTATAGTCCTCAGATTACTTTTAGCATTAAATAAATTTGCAATGAGTTAACACAAATTATGGGTTAACATCACTAGTTTCTCACGGACATAACCACGATATAATAAAATAAATATCTAATTTATCTTTGCTAAACATTACACCTTCGTAATGTTATTTATGAACTTGCCTAGTCTATAAAAGATATTTGTGATTAAAGTTGATTAATAAAACTCGATATCTATTTCTTATATTTTCCGAAAACATGTCTATTCAAATAAGCGCTTTTAGAAAGGTGTTTTGGTTTACTTTAATAAGAAACACAGATCTTTAATTCTAACAAAGATATACAAATTCTGGTTTCCACTTTAGCTTACATAAATATTCTTTACGTACTTGAATAGAGTAGATAGATTGATAAATATGACAGCAAGAGTATTTATATTAATTCTGCCTGCTTTAAAAGTTAAATTTTGAACCAAGGGTAAACTCTAGTTATAAGCAAGTATAATTCTGAATGATCTTTGGGTTTTCTCTTACCTCAGTAATCTCTCCATTATCAAACAGTTTTCGATTGATATCGTTATTTATTTTTAAATACACTTTAGTGCACCATTTTATTTTAACAATGTGGTGTGAAACTATAATATATCATGCTACATGCATTTACCGAGTTTCGAAAACCAATTTCCCACTGGCGTCCCGCACATCTATAAAATAGTACTTGTCCATAATCGTAAACATTATGACAACTGTTTTTGGTTTTATTCTGTAAAAACGAAGTTTCAATTCAACAACTATAACGGCTAACCTTTCATTATTAGCAAATTATTTCCACAGTTTAATTTAATTATTGACCAGGAAACATTTTCTCATTAAATGTTTCTAGTAGCGAATATTTGACTGTAATACTTTTCGTAGCAAGAAAAAGTAATGACAGTTACTTATTCAGACAGTTTGTCAACCATAGTGTCCATATACAAAGCCGAAAATTCGAATCTCAGTCTACTAATTTAGTATGGCGGAATTCGACGGGTAAACTGTTTTTGTCAGTTTTTATAACAAAGTTGCATATTTAAGAATTCAACTCACTAAGTTGCATACCAAGAAGGAACTTTAGCTTCTTGAACTACATGTAGATGGAAATTTGCTTTAAGTTAACTAGGACTGTAGTATCACATAATCACGTGGGCAATCAGTATCATAGGCGAGCTGTTTATTGTTAAACACTTAAATAAAATAATTACATACTCAGTAAACCTTTTTTGATTTCATATTTGAAGCAAAAAAGCTTCATCGGTGTGGGGATTTGTGGAGATTGTTGTATTTTTACAGTTGGATTCATGAGTCGATCGGGGATGCAGAGCCCCATTTTTCGACAAAACGGCCATCCAGTACTTCCAGGTTTTCAACATCAATGTGTTCTAGCTTAGACCGACTTGTGAATTCAGCAAAGCTTTGGGTTATAATTAATAATTAATTACGAGTGTTATGCCACTAATTATGAGAGATATAAGAAAACATAATCACTTTGTTGAATTAACGTTAACTCACCCTTGACTGAAGAAGGTCAAGTAGTTCCGTCCAGAAGTCTGAATTTCCGTAATCTTGCTGTACGGCAATACTCATCCGATTAACCATTAGTATAATTAACTGAAATTCGACAAATAATTTCAAATGAGGTAGTATATTCACGATAAATCATAATTGAGAGATGAAACAATCTATCTGTTTACTTCAAGTACTTAAATATCTTTGCTGCTTACATCACCAAAGGCACTCTAATCTTGTGCGTAGTGTAGAATTGCAAGTAAAGTCGCAAAACGAAACCACTTTCTGTGCAGAAGGTTACAAGGTGACTGATTGTTTTTTCACTTTGTCTTGATCACTGTAAGGGCTCATGAGTTATATTCTCGGCATAGTAGTAATAATGTTACAGACAGAATAAATTTATACCAGGAATACACAAAAGCTAATATATCAAATATCCCTCCACGTGTTTAAATTAAAACAAGCCGCACAAACTATTTTCAGCCTTATTACATATTTTATATACATCTAAACATGATGTCTAAGCAATACTTCCTAATCATAATCGATATGGAATTAAGTGGTCAGATGATAAAACGGGTCATTTTTGTAAATGCTCAGGATATTTTTTAATAATGACTTTGAGTTACTAGATAGTTTAAAAGTCGTAATAAATTTTTTTAGTTTATTGATTTCTTAACAACTCGACACAAACATTTGTAAATGTATTTTCACAATGTGTATCTAAGTAATAGTATCGATTATTTTTAATGTTTACTTTTACACAAATTGTTTTTTACTTAAAGCGGATAACTAGAGTCTAACGAACTTTTAGCGAATACTGGGAAGCGTAATATACCATACTGACTATCAATCTATAATTTCATGTCTTCTTAAAGACTTTTGCTTTCGAAATAAATATATAAAAACTGAGCCAGAGGTGCTTTTGGAGACTATATTTTGATTTACTTTTTGTTTACGATACACATCAAACACATTTTTAGGTCAAGTACAAAACAAAAAAAAAGCAAACAATATTCGGAACGAGAGTCTATCTCATGTGTAGATTTTTGGCTGTGAACACCATTTTTCCCTCAAACTCATGTTTTCCTTGCTCGGCGATCATACCTTTGATTAGTTCATCGTTTTAAACAGAACCCTGAGGACTAAGGCTACGGCATTTAGTACAGCTAACAACAAATTTCAATACAAATACAAAGCCGACCCCAAAGATGAGTCACTATGATAGCTAGCACACAGCTATGTAATTCTTCCCTTGCAATTAAATTAAATAGTGAAAAACTACACAGTGGTTCCTGTAATGATCAGACACCAACCAAAACAGAAAAACACTGGATACAAACAACAAAAAGTTAAGAGAAAGATCAATCGCTGTTTTTGAGTTCTTTAGCCAAATATCCAAATTTCCAAATTTGAGGGAACATTTAATCCGTTTTGAGGAAATTTTCGGGAAACCGCTATAGAAAATTTGGGGAATATTTTGGGGAAATGTCACGGAAACCACAAAATTTCCTCAAATCTGGGAAAAGCTTCCAAAACTTCCAGAATTTTCCAGATATTTCACCAAAAAATTTGGAGACTATTGAACCTCAGGGAAAAACCCAAAAATTCCCGAAAATTCCCCAAAATTCCTCTAAAATAGGGACACGGAGATTTTACAAGAACGCCATAGTTCTCAAACAAAAAAAGATCTTTATTTATCGATGTGCATTAACAATGGGACTACTTTTGATGTCAAGGATTCTCATTGTAACCATGTATTCTGTTAACAAACTAAAGAAAAAATGTCATTCATGGGCAATACACGACGTTGAGCTTATCTTTGAGAAACATCAAAAAAGTAAAAAATTCACTTACGTCTCTTCTAAATACAGTTGCTAGAGTTCCAATGACCAGACAAGCCATGAACAAGCCACAAAGTAGTGTGAAGAACTGAGATAGGATATTACAAAAATCTCTTCTATACCGTAACCAAAATGCAGCGATTTTCAAGTGCAGCCCCTGTGCATCCTAAAATTGATAATAGCAAAATGACTCCTCCAACGGATATAGTTGAATATGCTGATATTCTTAACAAATGAGGTCCCATTATATCCAAAAATATTTGGGGCCAAAATAAGGCCCAGCTAGCTATCACGATAGACGAAAGCCCAATCAGTATAAATATGACATTCAAACATAACAATACACACTTTACGCACATTAAAGATGACCCCTTCCAACACATTTGATTACGAATTCTAATTACACGACCTTCAAGTTTGTAACATTGCAAAAAAGAGTACACCTAATTTGAAACATTTAAACTAAATGGCATGTCCGAATCAGTTATCAATCCAGACTGATTTTTCAGATGAGAAACCTAATAATTGTATGTTACATATATGTAGAATGAAGCTATTTAATTTGTGGATCTTATTGCCGCTACATTTCACTCCACTCTATGATAGAGCAGTAAGACCCTAAGAAAAGATCATCTGGAAGTTTTAACCCACTAATAATAATAATAACTTAGATCCTCTTGAAGCTCAACTAAGTTAAAATGAGCATGATCGGAACAAGCGTCGAAAGTAGCGAAAGAGTCAAATGATATTTGTTTTTTCTTACCTCCACAGGCTTTTGGCAGCTTACATCAGTGCACGCCTACTCCATCACACCTTGATTCACACTATGCCATCAAAATCATACTGCCGTGAAATTTGTTCATAAACCTGGATGAGTAGGCTTGTGCATTATGATGAAGACGTTTCTTCGACAGTGTTACGGCGCGACTGAACGATCATTACCTAAAGATGTGTCACATAGTAAAGTTCCATAACCAGTTACGATCTGTTTGATTAGTGATTTCTAAGTTTTCGAAGATCATTGAGCTTTTTTTAAGTTGAGCATGTTTGAGAAGATCGATTTATTGGAAACTGTTCAGAGAAGTTGGACGAGACGAGGTCTGTAAGTACATTGTTAATTAAAGAGTGTGTTGTAAATTCCAAGTGAACTGAGATATTTGATCCCGTTGTCGAGACTCTCTAATAAAGTACTTGTCTATTGTGGCTAAACGAAGTAAACTATCAGCTTTCCACAGAGCGGTGAAAATGCCGTACAGCACAACACATAACTAGGAGTTCTCTTATGAATGTGTCACATTCTTGTTCAGTGTCTTGCGGACGTCTCGGAAAGAGTCCCAAAGGTTCTTCGTTCTTAGTCGTCCACTGTTATAAGACTCCTCGGATTGCCGGGTTGGATATATCTACGGCGATAATAATGGGCGCTTTGATGTCCTGGGGCGATAATTTACTTAAGTGTGTAGAATGCACCTTTTGCATCATCACCCAAACTGATGATTTTCACATTTCCACGGAGTTGGTTTATTAAGGACCCTATGAAGGAAGCTCAGATCAGCATGGAATGTTGATAGGAACTTACTATTTCATCGAATCCACGTCACTGATCGACAGTGGTCGATTCTGAGTAATTCGGAATGGCTACTACTTTTCTTTTTTGAAGGCAGGTGTCTTGGACTTCAACGGTGTATGAGAAGATACAGAAAGCCAAATTCGATCTGCCATTCCAAGATGTTTTCAGTAACATTGCATATTGTGAGTCATTTGTTAACTGTGTCTATTTGATGGAAAAGAGATTCTTTGTTTGGACTTGCAGCCATATTCATTTGTATTCATGAATTCAAAACCTCTGGATACGTTATCAATGAATCTCTGGAAAGTTTGTTTAGCATTTCTTAAACGGGAAAGCGTGCAGAAAAACTCGTAGAGTCCGAAAAAAATGACGATCGCCGTTTAAAGAATGTCGCCTGTAGCCACAGAAATTCGGTTACATGCTTCAACCAGATACATTTTCGGAAAAAACTGTACCTCTAAGAATAGCTGTCAGGTCATGGACGTATAATAAAAGGTAACGATCTGAAGTGATTTTCCTATTCACTCTCCGATAATCATCAGTTGGACTCTGGTCAATGCTGTCCTTATAAAGGACCATATACAAAAGAGGTTTTTATGATCATTCTGATCGTTAGATGATGCTCAGGTTGAAAATTCTTTCTCGACCAACTTGTCCAAACACGTTTGCTGTAGGAAACGTTGGGTTAATTCACATTTCAATAGCCGAGATTATTTGAAATATAATTTTTACATACAAAAACCCAAGTATTTATACGTTGCTGACATTCATTATTCAGGACTTCATGTAATCCGCGGCGTTTCATTACGTTGACGAATCCACCGAATTTGCTGTTACTGCTCCCAATAGTTGACTTCCAGTCATATGTGGTGACCGAGAAGTAGTAGATTTTCCAACTATTTAATAAACCCATTTGGCAGAGTGATAAAGGCAGTTAGCAGGATATGTGGTGATTATTGTGAATTCATTATTAATATGGTTGTGAATAGACAATTAACATCTTGCAAACTCCAAGCATGTGTTATTGTAGAATACAAATGAAGCTTGGAACTGAAGAACAACTGTCTAGGTAGTTTAGATACGCGCTATCGCCCAGTTGGAACCAAAACAAGGTGATTGGGTAAATGGCGGTTCTAGATTTCATCATAAATATAAATGCGCATCATAACCAAAACAAATATTACCGCCCAGTTATTCAACCAATGTTTGTTCAATTATTCAAATCTAAATTACCATAAATAAAAAAGTTGATGAAGGATGTAAGAAAATTAGTAAGCGCAACAATTAAACGTTATTCTTTCCTTTCTGGAAAGATCACTTACAGATTCCTCCGAAAAATAATATTTGGTTGCATTATAACACAGTGTTTCCAATTCTAAACGAGTGCTTCAATTCACAATCAAAAGTGCACAATCCTAGTCAATGCAAGCAACACAACCAAAGGAGAAACAAAATCAGTAGGGCTGCCGCCAAGACTAAGTATCAACTAAAAAAACATAAATGCAGTTCAGGAAGCAGCATGGAAATTGAGTGAAGGCGTAAGAAAGTATAATGTTTTGGATTATTTGAATTATGGCGCGAACTAAGAGTCCTAGAATTAACACAATTGAATTAAGAAGCAAGACACAAACACAAGCGAATGTATTGTATTTGGAATTCGAAATCGAGCATTCAACAAGTACAAAGGTATTATTAGTTCGTTCAAACACCACAGAAAGATAAAAGTTATAATAAAATACAAATATTACCACCTCAAATGTAATCAAAACAACTAACAAAGTCTACAACTGGATGAATCAATAGGAGGAAATCACAAGTGTGTAAATGGAGGGATTTTCACACAAAAACCTTCAAAGCACATCTTACACAGGCCTGGAAAATCCCTCCATACAACAGAAAGCCACTTTGATGCCTTTGGTCGTGGTTCATTCTGTAGCATAGTCTACACTAGGGGAACGAGTAGGGCTAACAGAAGAACTCATAACAAGGAACTAATTCGAACATTCAAGGAGACACACCTTACGTATATCCTTTTTAACTGACCCGTTATCCAGTTACCATCCTAACCTTTTCGTCATTATCTGTTTCACAGCCTTCAACTACTTCTAAAGGCCTCTTTCCATGTGTCGAAATGTCCGAAGTCACGATTATTACATTTTTCTGGAAATCGCGATGTTCAACCAAACATTTTTGACGTTTTTGTATGGAAGGTAAATATTCTCATAATCACCTTTTCCAAAACATATTAGCTAGATTATTGACCTGTTTTCAACGCTTGTCATACTTATCTCTGATGTTACCTTCTTCGACTACTCCGTCGCTCTCCCTCAACAACAGCAAACTATTTGGCGATGGGGCTAGTTTATAGTTAGTATCTTTGATAACTGAGGTCAAAGGTCGACCGTCTAATATCCTTTTAATTTCGGGCAAATATTTGCCTAAGGTCTCATCAGTCAACGTCTGTCCTCTGGTGATCAATAATAACAACCAGAGTATAGACATAATCATCCTACCCCAAACTCCACCCGCGTGGCTGGATGAGAGCGGGTTAAAATGCCATCAAGTCTTCCTCGTTGGCAATTCATTACTTCTCTTCTGCTGACTTAACTGTTGCACAAATCTCCTTAGTCAGAGATCGCACCCACGAAGTTCGACACCTCTTCTTCCAAAAAACGCAATAGGACCACTATAAATGAATCAGTATTCAAACTAAACGTCATTTCAATATGTACTGCTCGTGTTTTCAAACAAGTAAATACACATCCATATCTTTTTTCCAATGATTTTCCTCTTTTGACTAAAAAAGGTCCACGGTAAGCTACTCTTGCCGCTATGACAGTCCTATTACTTTCTACAAGCTGAAAGCGGCCCCAGCGGTTGTTGTTCCGAATTCATGGTAAACTACCAGCAAGTCATACACTTTCACATCACTCTCCTAACTGTGCTGGTTTCTTCAACTATCCAATAGCTTTTTTGAATTGTGGCCAGCACTTGAAACGTTCATGTGTGCACTTGTTCTTTGTGATAATGTTTAATTATTGTTTCCGTCACTAGTTGTCCATTGGGTAAAATTATTGGATGTTTAAAAGCATTTGGGAAATCTGAGTAGCTTAAGTGACCTCCAACACAGGGTAACCCATCAAGCATTATCGATAATAAACTCTTCAGATCATTATGACTAACTACTATACTGCTGTTTTTAAATTTACTAAGTAATTCTCCATACACCTCTTTCTGAACAATCATTAAAATCTTACGCTTAGTGTTATCATGCTCCTTTACATTTAAGCATCCTAAATGAACAGATCCTTCACTAATCGGTGAACGAGGTACCATCAGTAATTCTGTGAACCTTCTAAGCCAGGCTACAGCCCTGACTAATTTCAACTACTCAGAATAATAAGAAAGAATAGGTGACATGTTGTACTTTATACTATTCAAGTTAACCACAGCAGCTTTTCTTAACTCAATATTGTCAGGAGTAGGTTCCGGACAGTCAGTGATAGTTATACAAAAATCGCCATACAGTAAAGTAGGACATCTAAACCAAGATTCAAGATCGATCATTCTCTGTATACCCCTCGAGGTCCAATCAGCTGGATTCTGTGACGACTTTACGTAACGCCATTGTTCAGCCTTCGTTTACTGGTGCTCAACAGCAAGGTGATTGGCCGTACAGATAATTTACCGGTTGTCGGTATTAATGAATCTGTGTGAAAGTTCACTTCGCAGAAAAAATGGGTAAACTATTCTGTAAGGCTTCATTTACCCCTACCCTTCACACCGATGCTTCCAACTCAAGCCGCTGCATAGTGA